CTTTACTCTGAATGTATATAGTCAAAATAATATTCCAGAAGTTCTTGCAGCTACCATATTTTAATAGCTTAAAGCAGTGCAGGCTTGTTCTTGGTCACACTGCATGTGACACAGATTGGGGGCGGCTGTGCTCTGCACTGTTCTTACCCAGGGTGACAGAGCAGCGCCATCACTGTGACAGAGAAGGGAAGCCCTGGGTGCTCTGTCTGAGGGAGCACATCCTTCTGCCTCTGGATCTGCCTGTTCTGGGCATTTCCTACAACTGGAGCCATATAGAACGTGTCCTTTGGGTCTGGCTTCTCTCAGTAGGCATGTTTTCAAGGTTTGCCCATGTTGTAGCATGTCCCAATCCATTGCTTGTGACTCAGTAATATTCCTTGGACCGTTAGCTCGGTGAGCTGCTGGTGATCACACGGAGGTTTCCTTAGGCTCCTGGAACCTGCCTTAGCTTTCACAGAGCCTCAAGCTCAGCCACAGGCCAGAGCTTCAGGGCTTCTCTCATTCTTCCTGGGGGTGAGTGCACCTCTGGGTGCACGCAGGAATGTGTTCCTGTCTTTCAAAGCCCCACTGCTACCTTGGTCCCCACTTTTTCCTTTTAAACCTTTTAAGTTGGCATCCACTGCCTGAGACAGGTGGGAAGTGAAACTGTTATGGATGAGTGAGTTGGAACGATAGAGATGCACCACCCTCGGCCTGCCAGATTTGAGCCCTTCATTGTAGTCGGCGGCCAAGGGTGGCTAGTGCCCAGAAAGTTTCCTCAGCAATGGGAAGCAGTTTGATTTCCCCTTGTAGGGGCTGGGGATTTAGCTCAGTGGTGCCACTGCCTGCCTTGCAAGAGTAAGGTCCTGAATTTGATCCCTGGTACCAAAAACAAGCTCTGATTTCTCCTTTTAAATCATACTTGCAGTTGGGGAGGGCTCAGGGGAGCGCATGCAGAGTCTTAAAGAAGCAGAGCCATGGCAGGTTAGTGGGGGGCACAAGGAGGTTTCACCCACACTAGGTGAGCTGTAAAACATCCTGCACCTGCAGCAAGTTTACTGCCAAGCAGGATGTGGGGGTTTTGGGTGCTTTGTTCAAGCCAAAATGGCATTGAGGCACAAGATGGAGTCGGGCTGGTTATCACAAAATGTTGGTCCAGAGCTGCCTTTTGACAGGCATCTCTAGGGGAAAGGCTGTCCACGGAGGGTGAGCCCAGGGTCCAGTCAGGTATCTTGTGGGGGACAACCAGGAGTCCAGTTTCCACGGTTACCTGGGACCGAGGCTTGGGAAGACCTGTCTCCCCCACGGCTGGCTTTTGACCTGAAGTCAAGGTGTCATTTTCAAAGCTCCCTCAGAGCTGGGAGTCAGGGAGTGGAGTGGGTCAGGTTAAAATGCCAGGGTTCTCTGTCTTTTTTAAAACCAGGATTCAGTTGTATTTCTCGGATGAGTGTTCTCCCAGTTGCACAAGCAGTTGTTTATTTCTAGCATCCTGAAAAAGTTGATTTTGATGTCATTTGCCTGTCTCTCTATGGCTCTCACAGAGCAGAGACTTTCCTGGTGACCTTCCTCTGAGATCTTCATCGATGGCATTGTGTTGTGCAGTGTTTGCGGAAACAGGCCTCTGCAGAGGATTATAAATGTGCTTTCAAGGCATTAAACCCAGTGCTTCCACAGATAGGAGCCAAGAAGACTCACCTTTTGACAGGTGATGAGGTTTTAGCAATCCCTGACACCGGGGGTGATTCCCATGCAGTGTTCCCCATGGTCACTGCTTTCTCAGAGTGCTAAGGTGTGTGCTAGGACTGCTGATGGATACTAGGGAAGAAAAATGCAAAACCTGCAACCACTCATGAGGAGGAAGAGAAAGAAAACATGGTTGTAGACTTACTCATAACAAGGCATAGGCTTGGGTGAGGTATGGTATGCTGTTAGAAAAATTAAAGTCACCTCCCTTGAAACTCACTCTGGGAAACATGTTATCACACCTTTTTGAAGGCTGTGAACTTCTGCAGGGTAGAGAATAATACTATTTTCTCCTTTCCTGCTGCCTCCTGTAGGCTGGGCTCGTGATAAATAGGAAGTAGGGAGAAGTTCAAATACTCCCCCAACTGACAAATTCCATTGTTTTAAACATATTTTCATGCGTTTGCTAATTGGTTTCTTTTATACTACTGTTGTTGAAAAAAGATTTGTGTTATAGTCTCTTTCCTTTCTGTAAGTCTCTTTTCGGTTTATGTCTTCTACTCTACTTTGACGATAACGATACACAGGGTAGTCGCTATTGTTACTGTTTTATTTGATTGTGAACTTTTATTTTTTCATAAAATAATAAAAAAAGAATTTCACTTGTGAATGATAAAAAATCAATTTAAAAGGACTTTAGAAAAATAGCTTATTTTGTACATTTGAATTTCCAAAGATAACAAACTTGAGGTGTAGCTGGATTCAGGAACCCATAATTATTTCCCAGGAATCTGTCTCTGTCCTGCTTTTGTCTCTGGTTTTCTCTGTTTGACTTTGCTCGAAGGCAGCTTTGTGATCGAGGGCTGGAATACTTTGGTGGACTGTTTTGGGGTTGTGTGCTCTCTGGGAAGCCTGACTGGGTGGCCTGAGATCTTTCACTCACTGTGTGAAGGAGGAGATGCCCAAGAGGACAGCGAAATGTTGCCATTGGAAAGAGGGCAGGGAGGGTGCCAAACAGGCGTGACTCATGTCTGGGACGGTTCACAGAAAGCGTCTGTGTTAACCTTTCCAGGTGCATCGTGGAGCTGAATTTAGGAATCTGCTCTGGAACCGTGGCAGCCTCTGTTTTTCGTGCACCTTGTGGTGATTCCCACTTGCACACCATTATCCCCGTTGAGGGAGTTCTCATCCCAGCGTTCACAGCGTTTCCTGTCCTTACGGCGATAGCTGTGCCTGTACTCTCCATCTCTCCAGTGGAGTGGCATGCTCATGAGCTGTGTCTTCATTCTTTTGGAATTATCTCCCCAGGATTCATCCGGAGGAGAACACATTCATGAAAACAGAAAATACTAATTTTCCACCTTCCTTAGATTGGGTTGTCCTTGTTCCCACAGAGCACTGATGTTGACTCAATGGAAAGTTGATATTTTCTCTTAAAAAGTAGCTGTTCTTTGCAGGCTTACTAGCACTAAAAAGTGAATTATCTATAAGATGGTAATAGTACCAATTGCTACCTCGGGAAGTTGTTAAGAGAATGAATAATTATATGTGAAAACACTTAGAACGCTGCGTGTCTCACAGTAGTGGTCTTAGCTGCCGTCATCTTCATGGTCATCGAGGCTGGCCCTGTCTCATCCCTGTCCCAAGTGTGGAATGGAATGGGCAGTGGATTTAAGAACAGGACTGTGGGCCCTCCCCAGGGCCAGCAGAAGCGGGGACGCTGGGAGGTGCATGGGAGGCTGGGGGAGTCCCATGGTGGGGCTGCATTGCCTGGGGTCCCCAGCTTCTTGGGTTGGCTCTTTGTCTCCAGGCAGGTGTGGAAGTAGCTTCTCCAGCAGACCCGGGCAGAGGCCCTTGGACTCATTCACTGAGCGGATGTGTCAGGCACCACCTTCCCGGCTGTGCTCCTGTCCGGATAGCATGTGCCCTGAGATCTGTGCACAGACTGACCCAGTAAATACCACAGTGGCCAGAATGAGCCTCATTACCCATTTCCCAGATCAGGTGGCCACACGCAGGGGAAGTAACTTGCAGCAGACATTGTTGATGGATGGAAAAGCTTGATGAACGGAGCTAGAGAAGAAAGCAGGATGGTGAGGAGACGGGCCGGGGTCAGACCACTCCATGTCAAGAGAGTTTGGATGCCGTGCACACCCAGGTTTATAGCAACGCAATTCTTGGAAGCGGCCTGTGTGTCCATCAGCAGTTGAATGGATAAGGAAAGTGTGGTATTTGTTTACATGGAGCACTGCTGTGACATAAAGAAAGAAAAATTTAAGTCATTTGTGGGAAAGTGGTGGGAAAGTGCACCTTGAGACCACAATTTTAAATGAAATGTCAGGCACACAAGCTTCAGTATAGCATGGTTGCTTTCATATGAGAAACCCAAAGTACAAAAAAAGAGCCAATCAAAGATAGATAACAGGAAGTAGGGAGCCAGATCTTTTGCAAATGGGAGCCAGACCAGGAGAAAGGAGGGGAAGGGGACGTAAAAAGAATGAAGCTATGTTAAGTCCTTGTACCAAGCCCACGAGGAATGTAATCATTCTGAACTGCAAATGTGCACTAATAAAAATAAAAAGAGTGGTAGGGTATCTCCAAAGAGTGTGAGTCTAGGAGAGGAGGAGTGTGACTTTGATGGCCTTGACTTGGACACAGGGAGGCAGCTGGGGCCCTTGTCACCCCCCGCATGAGAGATGTCACTTAGTGGGGAAGTTCACAGACTGAGGTTGGCTCTGAGACAGACCTTAGAGAGCCCCAAGGGGTCGTCAAAGGAGGACAGAGACACACATGGGAGGAAGTCTGTGGGGGTGGGGAGAGGGCGAGGGGCTCCTGTGTCAGCGCAGGTGTGCAGAAGTGTGTAATGGTCATTGGACTCATTCTTCTCTCCTCTCCGTGCTGTTGTCTTTCTTGATTTGGAACCAGAAGGAAGTCTGTGGTCCTGGGGTTATTAGGCTCTGAAAAATAGGCAGTTACTTCCCAAATGAACCTTAACCCAAGACATGGAAAATACTGAAAAGCACACTTGTGCTAGGTAGGAAAGGTCTGTGAGATGGCGGAAGTGGGGTGGGAGAGAAGGAGAGGGAGGTGGAGGCCGGGGAGCTGGTCCCAGCCCGGCCCCTGCGGACCAATAAGAGGGTCCAGCGGTCAGGCTCGATGATCTCCACCTGGCCCGGAGCCTCATCCTGCTGCCCAGAGTCTCCCGGTCTGTGTGGGCCTCCAGGCAGCTGTTTGGGTCACAGAAGGAGGCCCGAGGCAGCAGGCCACCCTCCATACCCCTCCGTGCTTCTCACTTGGCTTGGGAGTGTGCTGACCTTCACCCTTTCTCTCCTGCTCAGGACACTGAAGTTTTGAACACGGCCATTCTCACCGGAAAGCCTGTGACCGTCCCTGTCAAGGTCGTCGGGGTTCAGGAGGACGGCTCTGTGGTCCACGTGGTGGAGGCTGTGGAGTGCAGGTCGGCTGACGAAGACGTGGTGAAGGTAGGAGGAGGCTTTCTCTGTGGATCTCCGGGGCCACCTGGCCTTCGGTGGCTCCTGCCTTTGTCTCCAGCATCTTGTTCTGTCCCAGTGTCCTGTGTTCCAGAGGGTGGGAAGACAGAATGACCTCCCCAGGGCAGTGCAGCAGAGCTCCGCTGGCTGGGAGAGGAGGCTGCAGCAGGCTGGGGCCCTCAGGCCCCGGGCCATTCACTCCCCTCTCTCTCCTCCTTCCTGCCTTTCCTTCTCTCCATTACCTTCTTGCGTAGTCTCTGCCCCTCTCTTTTCCTTTCTGAGAAAGGGAATTACTAGGCAGAATTTTAAAAGTAGTCGAAGGAAAAGTGTGAACTCTCAAAAGGGAAGTGATGTGTTATAGTCTGGGGCTGAGAATATTTATGCATTTTTGGTAGTGGAAATCTGTGGAATTTGTGAATCTCTAGAAAGCTTGGGCTTGGTTTATAGAAGAGCAATGGCCCACCAGTAGGGAATAGCTCATTGTGCAGGTGAAGGCCCATTTAAAGGAGAAAGGTATGCACGCGGGCGCGTGTGTGTATACACATGTTATGAGTGATCTATTTTCCAAAACATTTTTTGAAACCTTTGCATCCGTTTCTCTATCTTAAGGTCACATTTCTGTCCTTTATTTTATCAACTGAGCTAATTATTTATGGATTTAAGCATCTTTAAGGTTTTGGGCTGATGGGTCTGGAGGAAGAGAGGCGAGAACAAGCCGAGAGAGTGCAGGCGTGGCTAACCTTGGGGAGCTTTGATTGGAGTCCTCATGAAGGTACAATTTTTAAATTATAATATTCCTCAGCCCCTTCCTACCCAGGGTGATATTTTTCTAACGTTAATGATCCACGTGCCATCCCAATCTTTGCCAGCTGTCTATGCCCAATGATGCTATTAACTAAATATATTTTCTTCAAACGCCTTGCTTTTTTGAGCAGCTGGTTGGCTCAGCTGGTGAGAGTGGGTGCTAATAAATATCTCCCTCTTTCAAGCTTAAAAACTAATTTAGCCTCATTATCAGAGAAATCTATGAGCTTGATATACTAAATTTTTGTTAATATTCATTAAAATAAATTACTATTAAAATGAGAAAAAGAGCGCCTCATGTACCACCTCATTCATTCAATTTGGATCTAACCAGAGGGTTCCAGCTCATAGGTGGGGAGATTTGGCCATGGGACATTTCTGCAGGATTCTTCACCCTAATTAGCTGTATTTCTGACTCCAAGTTCTGCCAAGAACCAGTCTGTTTTTAGTTTCTCAGGCTCTTTGTGGGGTCCTGCTGGAATGACCAAATTTAGTGTTTCTGCCTATTGCTTTTCTTAGTCCATTGGTTGCCATTTGCTTTTGCAGCCGCCACTTCAGGAGACAGGACAAATTTTCAGAATTATCCTCCTTAAGTTACTCATGTTGTAGGAAACACAGTGACACTGAGTTCTATTCTCCCTCTCATCCCTCCCGTTTAGAGGTAAATGAAACTTTGCCGCAGTCCCAAGAACTTTCCCTCATGTGGAAAAGACTTTAGGGGTTTTCCTGTGGTAGCAGAGGCCTGATGGGTTGATTTCTTCTTAGTGTGACCTACCGAAGGCCATATCTCACTCCAGAGACAGTTAATAAAGAAGAAATGATGTATTGGGGAGGTATAATTTAAAAAATGCCAAACCTAGGCACCTCCAGTTTGGCATAGCTCTGTTTCCTGGGCATGGAATATTAATTTCCTGTAGAGGAAGAAGGACCAGCTTAAACCCCATGGACACAGCCCTGCCCTGGGCTCCTGCAATCCTTGTATTCTGTGAACAGGTTGGATTACACAAATACAAGTCCCTAAATAGTCAGAGTTTAGGAATATCTGAGTCAAGTTAAAAGAGATTTACTGGTCACACTCCCATCCCTGGGACAAAATACCCGCCGACCCTGTATCTTAAAGGAGGAGTGGTTTGCTTTGCCTCATGGTTTCAGAGGGTTCCATCCATGGTCGGCTGGCTCCAAGGCAGAGATGGCCTGGCAGGAGGGCCTGTTGGAGGAAAATTGCTTACCTCATCCCAGCCAGGAAGCAGAGAGGGAAGGGAGGGACCAAGGACAGGAAGTCACCCTTCTAGGTCATGGCCCCACGACTCACCTCCAGCCAAGCCCAACTCCTTACAGCTCATTGAGCTATTGAACTTAGCAGTGGAGGGATACACTGGAGAGCGTGGCACTCCCATGATCCAAGCGTGTTCCACACGTATGCGGCTTCAGAGGACGTTTTAAATCTGAACCATCACAGAGATCATTTGCACAGATGAAAAGCATTGGTCAAGCACCACCTCTGGCAGCACATGCTTTTCATCGTCCCCTTGTCACTCTGGAAAGGAGACACTGTGGGTGGCAGATGGGGATGGTGTCTGGTGCTCACGCCGTAGTGAATGCAACCTACTGACTCTGCAGCTCCTAAACTTTTACTCCCCTCCTGAGAGCCCCTGTGGAGCTCCACAGGGTGGAATCTTCCGTCTCCCACCCTGGAGAATTCTTAATTCTTCCCTAGAAAGGAAGCTCCGAGTTCATGGCTCTACTGCGCAGAAATGTACTAACAATGCCCTTTGTGCATCCCGGGTGCACGGTATTTTGGAAGGTGACAGTTTTTTGGCCAGCTGTCACCGTTGTGGCTTCACGGAGGAGGAGTATTCTTCGGCAATGACCCTGCACCGTCCGGAGCAGTAGGGCACGGTGTGCAGACCACCTCCTCTCCTGTGCGAGGGAGGGATGCCTGTCATGTCATGTCATGCTCGCTCTGATGTTTTTCTGATCTTAGATCCCAGAGCAAAGTGAGCTGTTTCTTGTGCTCGGATATAAACAAAAGCAACCAGGGCCGATATACTGCACTCAGTCATCGGATGTGGGAATTCTCTATCTTTATAAACCATTAAAAAAACCCAGTGGGAAAATGGACTGTGTTCCGCCAGAGAATGTCCAGGGGCGGGCCAAGGGTTCTTGAATCAAATCACAGGTGAAGCAGGAGGTGCGAGGCTGGAGGCTGGCGGTGCCGGGAGGAGGCACCGCGGTGGGTGAAGTGGGGACACAGCGGCGCTTTTTGTGTCTCTCAAGAGCCATTGTGTGGAGGACAGAGTAGACCTGTGCCTTTTATGTTTCAAAAGTGGAGTTAAAAGCGACCCTTTTTAGTTCAGTGGGAAGGAAAGGACGACAGGGACGGCGACCTCTTTGGTTCAGCGCTCAGAGAGGCGCCGCGGATGAGAACCATGAGTCCGCCTCCCTCACTGTCAGCCGTGGGTCGGCTGCTCGGCTCTGAGCCCAGATTCCTCGGCTATAAATGACTCAGTGGAAGGGGCCTTCAGCAGAGGCTGGTTCCCGTGCCCCTGCGGAAGAAGGAACTGGAAATAATCATGCTAATCCTAAAAGCCCTGTAGAGAGGACTGGGCATGGAGACGTTCCAAATATAGTTGATTAAAAAAAAAATGTTTTCCTTGCATTTGGGCAGTGGGAAAATTTCCTGGGACAGAAAAGAAGGTATTAGTATTAAAGTAAATATTAGAAGTCCTGATGAGCTAGATTAGCGAGTAGCTGCCTGGTTTCCTTCTCTTTTATGTCTCCTGGTGGAAGTCTGGTCTCCGGCAGTCCAGTTACAGAGCACACACGGAGTTGAACCACTGTTTGTTACAGGCGTGTGTGGTAAGGTCCAGCGTGGCGGTTACGGAAAGAGAGCGCTTATCTAAAGGAAGCCACCTGGCCTGCGCCACGCCAGTGATTTGTTGAGGTATCTGCACACTTGTACCTTTATCCACCTGCATCTCCACATCCATCCTGCAGGCCTCCACTACCTTCCTGACTTCTTTCCTCCCGGTCCTAAGCGGAGTGTCTGGAATACAGCAAATATCTGCTGCCTAGGCAAATGAGAGAATCAATAAATGGGCAGAGTCCCGGCCACGGGAGCAGATACTGCGCCTACGCACCTGTCCCACGCTGTCCGAACACCTCGGAGTTTTTGGGCGCTGGGAGGCTTCGGGCAGACGTGAAGATGCTCTGTGTCACAGGGACTTGGCATTGGGTGAGGACGTGGGCCTGATCCTGGGACCCTGCCGCGCCACCTCTGTTCTCACCGGATGTTTCATTCCCTGTGCCAGTTACTTTTCTCCCGTTGCTGAGACAAATACCCGACACCCCGAGTTAGGAGGGAAGAGGTTTATTTGACTCACAGTTCGTGGGGGTTCAGTCCGTAGTCGGCTGGCTTCAAGGCTGGGATGGCTAATGGGCCTCGCAGAGGAGAAACAACATGGCACGCATAAGGCGGCAAAGGCAATCAGAGAGCTTCGCTGCGCCTTTCCGCTCTTCTGTCCCATCCAGGATACCGGGATCAGGTGGCGCTAAACTCATTGTAGTGGTTTAGTAATCACAGGACCTTAACCCAGCATCACACGCTCCAGATTCAGCCACCTCTGACCGAAGGAGGCTTTGGGGGGACATCCAGACCCAAAGCATGACATTCCCTGAAGGCTCCCCTTCATGTGGAGGGCAGGGTGTGGGGAGCTGTGGGAGCTGTGCAGGGGGAAAGCATGTGAATTCTGTCCCTGAGAAGTTTGCACAGCTGGTGCATATTAAGAGGTAACATTGGCTGAACATTTGTTACGTGCCAGAAACCATCATATCCAGGGCCTGAGTAGTATGGACCCAGTGAAGGCAGCTAATTCCACTGCTTCAGGCTTGTCAGGGGAGCTGGCACTAGCAGGGAAGAGCTGGACTCTCTGAGGTCCCGTAGGGCACTGTGGAATGTGTGTAGGGTTCACACAGTGGAGCATCATTCCACAGTGGGCTCTCTGGGAATTCGCTTTTATCCACATCACTCGGAAGTTGTGAGTATTAGTCTCTTTTGGCTGCTGTAACAAATTATTACAAACCTAGCAGCTGAAACGCCCATTCCTTATAGTTCTGGGGGTGAGAAATCTAAGAGGTGGGCAGGACTGTGTCCCTTCTGGGGCCCCTGGGCGACTCCGCTCTTTGCC